TAACAGTACTTTCGTGAATGTGTCAATAACGAGACAGAACATTTAATCGGATATGAAACGAACGGCAAAAGAGAAACCTGTAATTGTCAATAATTACAAGTTCTTAGATAGGACCGATTACAGTATTATCAAGTTGTCACGTGCTCGAAATTAAAGTGTGCTAACTTGGAAGGCAAAAGTGGATGAAATTTGATTCTCAGTTAGATTCGACTTTATACGAAGTATTATCATTTACGTTGACAGAGACTCGTGAATGAATGGTGACAATCTGTAGGACAAGTCGACGTAATTTAGATGCGAACGTGGAATTCTCGTTTCAATATATTTGGAATAATTATTAATGTCTACGCTCCATTTGTAGAACATTGACATCGATCCATAATTTCTCTGAGAACGGTACCGTTATCAAAAATGGACACCTAGCCCACGTGTGGTTTTGTAACTGTTACCTGCGGATACCTTTGCGCAAGTATCGCCAAGATTCGATGTAAAAAAAAAACAAACAAAAAAAAAAGAACTTTGCTCTCTGGTATCAAGAGTATTGATTAGGTATTAGTCCCGTCGCTACCGAGTGGTTTCTAGTGGAAACTCGAAGATTCCTAAGAACCGACATGTTTGGAATACGTTGGCAACGTTGGCGACGCTCGCTCGTCGAGGTTACTTTAGAAAATGAAATAATCACAAAAGAGACTCGTACATTTTTCCTTGACTCGGTCTTCGATTCGTATCTTTGAGTCAATCTATGATTCTCCGGTTTATCGATTTGTTCGTTGCCGCGTAGCGAATGGCGTTTAGCTTAAGACTAGTGTAAAAGACCACGGTAACGCGGATCGTGGATTTAGCGCTTCGGTAACTGAAAACGAGTCAAGAAGATAGGTAATTTCGTTGCCGATTTCCGTGCTAGAATATACGAAGAGTAGCACCATTGCAATCGTTAGAGCGTTTATATTATACATACGGTAATCGATGGATAACTGAAACGAAGTTATCTGCGGCACTTCTCTTTTAATTTGTTATGATTGGACTACGGATTATATGCATTTATGACGTAGGATAATACAGAAAACACACGTGAAATATACATAATGTTGAATATATTCTACAATAACTCGTATAATTCAATATTCATTATAATTCTATTATAATAATATCGTTATTTTTATCTTGCGTCTGTGGGCATACCTTTTGGCTACGTTTATACCATGTACGTATTATTTTAATTTATATCATAAATGCATAAAATTTAATTGTCACGAAGATATATTAAAATTTTAATTTTGTTTAACGAATAATTCGTTCCAGTTGCATCGCTCGTAATCCAATTTCGTTTCAGACGTCCAACGATTGCCATATTCCCCTTCTCCTCTCGACCACATCCCCGAATCCCTACCCCGACTGTCCAGCGATGGAAAGATTACGAGTTCGCGAGTTTCGGAACAAATCGAATATATTAATTGCGTCTTATTAAGCGTGTTCCAATAAATAAGTATGTATATCGTAACGTAGTTCTCGCCCCCTTATTCAGCGGGTGATCCAATCTTGTTCTTCGATCGGGCGAGCTTACGTAGTCTCGGCGGTGTTCTCGTCTTACCTGATTTAATCGTTCGAGTCGGTTCACGTCGAATCCAGAATTCCGACCGTTCAACGACAGAGATGAACCACGCGATCATCTTGCACGTGTAAACATTTTCCAACGACGAGAACAAACGATAAACAGATCCGTTTATCCGTTTACTCGTCGAATGTAAATTACAGTTGGAGCGAAAATGTTCTACGATAAAAAGTTAATTCCATTTTTCTAATCGAATAAACGTCACGAATAAATTGGCGCACGTTGGTTTCATTCGTTATCCGTTATTCGAAATAAAGTGTAGCCCCGTCTCTGTTCAATGGTGATTCATCGCAGGCTGGAAGGGGTAATGGACAGAGAAATTTCCATTCTGGATTCAATTCGCGACGCGTCCAGGGTAATTGGTCTCGGAACATTTACATTCCAGAGATAGTTCGAGCGGTGATCGAGCAATTTCGTTTAGGTACTAAATATTCGACCGCGAGACTGCGTGACCTCTGCTCGAGATCTATTTTTGTACCAAAAACATGACGGAAAATGAACAAAAAAAAAAAAGAAAAGAAAAGAAAAGAAAAGTAAATGAAAATAACATAACAGTCGAAAGGGGGGATCCGCCGTGACCGCGACGGGGGATTCCCTTAACTTCCTACTCGTTCGAGTGGACGGTACTTTCTTCCGTCACCATGCCGTGGCGTCTTTCATAGCGGTCTTTTAGCCTCTACATGATTCAAAACACGTTGTAAAAAGTCACTGATAAGGATTAGTCGATAAGCCGACATCAACATCGGAAGAACGATCGATTCTCGAGAAACGCAGCTACCGGCTAGCGAAACGATTACAGCTGTCCGATGGAAACGAGGTTTAGTGGAATCAGGACCGTGGCTAGGTAGATTCGCGTTCACTATGCTAATGGAATACGTAACATGCGTCCTTCCCCCGCTAGTTTTACATTAAGTACACGTACGTATGGTTAGTGTTATGTACGGTTGTTAAAAAAAGAATATTGATCGTTGAATTCTTTGAATTCTTTGAGAAAAAGAACTAAAGTAAACGAAATCGTTTTCACGATAATTGGTAATCGTGGAAATAGTAATTAAAGAACGAGAGAATAGAAAATGATGTGACATTTACAGTTTTGAGTTTATGGGAGGTGAACTGGATTTTTTAGTATTTATTATTAAGAGAAAAATTTAGGAAAAAAATACTTTTGTATAATCAGTTAATGGAAACAGTATTGCGTTACAGAATAGTATTTAAAGGAAATATTATATTGGAGGAATATTGTTTTAGAAAATAATATTTAAGAGAGTATTCTTTTACAAATGAATGTTTAGAAATTCAGTACTTTTTAGGAATAATAGGAGATGTGTTATGGGAGTTAATTTAATTTTAAGGACGCTTGTCGACGTTCTTTTAATATTGCGCCAAGGGACACGTGTCCCTTTTTCAACTGCCTTGTCACGGTCTTAAGCGAAAAAACAACCGGCGATACGAGAATTCTCTAATCGAGAGATCATGGAATGTGTCAAATCAAGTGACAGTGTTTTTACAACAATCGCGCCAATTTTATTCTCCACACTTTACCGTCCGCACAATTCGCGTAATAATGAATTATATTTAAAATGTATTTTATCTATAGTCTACCAATTGTTTCTTAGAGAATAATTGTTACTGCAGTAATGCTCGATTACATGAGAAAATTTCAAATCCTTGTCACTGTTTGTTTCTTCTAGAATTAACTTGCAACCAATCCCGATTAATTAAGAATCTCCGATTCCGATTTTTTTTTATTTAATCGAGCACTGTATTCAGTTAATTACGATAGAAATATTACTCTGTTATTGTTGAAACACGATAGTAATATTAATATTTACTACGGTAAATCGTTATAATTTTATTAATTATATTAATAACTACATTATAATACGAATATTTTGTTTACGCAATACCGGGGATATTATGCCGAAATATTCTTATTTGTTATCGATGATATTTATTATACGTATTGTATTCTTTGTTAGCATATGGACGCGTGAAGTTTTCCAAGATACTTTTGTGAACATTACAATTGTTAAAACGTGAAAACTTTCTTCTTTCAAATAGGTTCACCGAAAAAGATTAATAGTTTAGATACCAAGATGGAGTTTCATTCTTTTTTTTATTTTTTTCAAATAAACAATTCGATTAGGATCGGTAAGCGTTGTACGATGATATTATATCATGTATCTGTAAATATTTGCGATAAAATAGAAACTTCTTTGGTTATAAGAATACAAAAATCTATGTAACTACATATATAACAAATTTATACTACAAAGAAATTTCTAATTTATTCCAATAATGTCCCATCAAGAAACTGAAGATATATACTATCCCAGATACGAGCAATACTCGAACTCACGCGTGCGTGACAGCGGACGGTAAAGTGTCAATAGAGACATAGGACCGACATTGGCATCGATATCGATATCGCTACGTCTCTATTCACTTCCCTCCTTTTCTTTTCACCTTCGAACGCTGATTTTCCCTCCCCAATATTTCCTGTTTCCACTTTCGGCGCTATCTGTTTTTTGTCTTTGGCATACTGACCACTATACTCGTTAAAACTTCCATTTGAAGAGGTAAGGGGTAGAGAACGGTACCGCTTATGCAATTTTCGACATCGACGGGATGAGCAGGCACGCTCGTTCACCGCGTTTGGAACGAAACATGCATCGAAACATTACGTGGACGAACATAACCTCTCGTCGAAACGGTTCTCGGACCGTTAACGGCGAAAGTTATGGCGAGAAAGTAACTTCACTTCGTAAATCGTGCACCTTCAATGACATATCTTTTGCTCCGCACAATTGTTTACGATCTGGTTGAAAGAACGCGACGCAGAGCGGTTAACGAGCACGTCTGCTGGTTCGATAATAAAAATAACAAAGATTATTGAGATTTCAGGAGCCAGATTCTTGCAGATTGGTCTGCCCAAGGCTTTAGGATGCAAGGTATCCTTTCAATAAACTATCTCGACATTACGCGTGTAACGAGCTTTTTAACAAGCTTTTGCACTGTGATAGTGGTTGAAATACTGAAGCTATTGGTGTATGATTTCAGGTATAAATATTAGGTGTACTGGAAAGTAATGTTGTTTGTGCAATTTTAAATACTTGTTTATCACTCATCAGCTCATTGATTTTTATCGATATGGCGTTGAAAATTTGCACGCTATATGGCAAAAGGCTGTTGATAACGAAAGCGATTACATAATTGGTTAAAAATAGAAATTTATTAAAAATTTGTTTGAATTTAACGTAAAAGAAACGACATTACTTTCCAGTCTACCTAATAGTTAACAATTTAGAAGACATGGTAAAGTTTTGAAGATATCAGGTATAAACAAAATAGAAAACCTTCTTTATATTTTAATATCAATTGGAAATCAATAAATTTGTATGTTTTAATATTTAACTACAGATTTCACTAAATTTAACATTTTTAATTTCACGAATCTGATAATGTATGAATATCCTTAAAGGAGTTTCGTGTAAGCTGTTCAAATTACTGATTCGAATTTCAATGTATTGTTGTATTTTGTATAAATTTGTATGTTTTAATATTTAACTACAGATATCACTAAATTTAACATTTTTAATTTCACGAATCTGATAATGTATGAATATCCTTAAAGGAGTTTCGTGTAAGCTGTTCAAATTACTGATTCGAATTTCAATGTATTATTGTATTTTGTCTGTATCGGATAATTAATTTGAATACAACAACAGAATATTTACTCGAGAGGACACCTTGCATCCGAACCCTGCGGGCAGTATCAACTGTACAATAATTAAAAAAAAAAAAAAAAAAAAATATCATACTAATAATGAATAAAAAGAAACATCCAGAATATTCGAAATCTAGCGAATATAATCCGCGTAGCTCCGTTCATTCTCGAAGCTGTAACCAACTCTGTTGTTCTCTCGATTACACGTCGCATGATTATACACGTTTACACGTACACCCATATTTTTAAGATGTTTTTGTGCATTTATAATGTCGTAATAAAAGTTTCGAATCGTGTCATGAGAATCTTTGTTAGTGTCCTTGCGTCTGAATGCGAATGACGATCTGAATTTGGCGGCGAGTCGCTAAGCGTGCAATGATGCTTACGTACGAATTATGATTCTAAATTCTTTCAATTAGAGTTAGTTCATTTATTCCAATATAACCTTCTAATAATAGTCTTCGATTGCTATCTCGAATGAGTCAGATGGCAAAAAATATATATAAAATCGATACGAATTGGTATTAGGTTGATACGTACCTGCACGTTTGCCAAAGTCTTACTAGTTCACACATGCAACGGCAAGGTGGCGCATTGGTCAGTCCTCCAACTTTCTAAATTTCCATATTAAATTTAATATACAATCACAAGCTAAGAAAAAGAACTGCGTTTCGTTCAGAAATCTATTAATGCATTCCTCGTGGGAGAGATCTAATACAAATATCAATTTACCTGTAAAGAGGAATCTGCAATCGATACGTCTCGACAAACAGCAATCGTGGGTACGATTTGCAGCCCTCTGGCGGTAGTCGTCACTCGCGAACGTGTCGCCACATTGGAAGTTTCAACGAAATTGAAACGCGCGTCAGATCTTTTGTATGTTTAACAGTTTTTAATCGAGATTTTACGTCAAAACGGTACACGGTGATCATCGTCGTTGTAATCTTGTCGCGAGTGATTGATCAATCGCGAATAAAGTGTCAAACATTTTCATAATCGCGTGTTTAGTACGAATATCAGACAACGAACACTTACGAACCGTTCCGACTTACGAACCGTTCCGATCCGCGTTCCGCTGGTCCCACGTTATTCATACCATTTATTACAAACTCGCGAAACTTTTCTTAAATACGCTTAAGTACACAAGCATATTATATAGATAAACGCGAAAAAAATAAATAATACGAAATAATGAAGCACGACGAGTGACAGGTATTGGTTAGCTACCTAGACAGATTAAATTGAGAAGCTTCGAGTAATTTCTACGGAACGTGGTATGGACCGACCGACGCTTCCCGCGCGAATTTCCACAGTAGCTTCTTTGCAAGTGCGTTTAGAGTCACGTTGTACGTCGAAGACCGAAAAAAACCGTGAAATATCGTGAAAACTGTCGAATATTCGCGATAAACAGAATAGTGAATGTTCCGTAAACAGAAAAGACAAATATTCGATGACGGATGTCGTGTCTTTTCTTTTATATCGGCGAAAAGACGTACAGGCATCGGTATGGGGAATACACCATTGGCTCGAAGGAACGAGGAGCAGGTTCATCGACTGATCGCCGATCAAGAATTGAATTGATATCCCTGGTAGGTACAGAGATACATAAGTGGCTACGGTAGCTTAATATTACGCTAGCGTAACCATTGTTTCTCGAAAACGGCTGGAGCAAAAAGAATGAATTCTTTGGCAAATAATTGGCAAATAAATAGCAAAAAAATATCGTGTTAATTTGGCATTGGCCTTTTGAAATGGCTACGCCAACTTAATATACGTAGTGCTTTCTTTCTTTTCTTCTTCCACGAAAGGTTTCCACGAATATGTCACGCATTTTTTTTACGAATATAAGTCATTTATTTCGTTCGTATTCGGTTTGTACCAGAGTACCTCTATACTATAGTCGATAAAAATTGGCTAAGGCTTTGGACTATCCGGTATATTTGCGATTTCCTCGCGAAACGTTTGATGGTTATATCGATATACAATACACATGCGTGTATACGCGTAACTACATACATAGATGCGTACATGTACGCGCGCGCCGTATACTCGAGCTATGTACAGTTTTAATTAGGATTACCAACTGTCCTTTGTTCGAAATGACAATAATTTTCTCAGCTCTCTGTGTCCTCTTTTAGGTCTTTAGGCTGACAAAGGATGCTATATGTAATTTTCAGATAAATTCGTGATATATTTGAGAGTCATGATAGAATAAATTATGGTGAGAATTTAGCGTTTTTTTATTATTTAAGTAGAATAAAAGTAGAGAAGTAGAAAATATTAGATGAGAAAATTAGAACCTATTCGTCTATAACTAATATTAATATTCATATACGGTCAGTCCTAGAAGATATTCGTAACCATCATGTCTATTGAAGAAAGTCTAAATTAAATGATGCTTTGATGTTTCCAAATAAATGTTTCATTATAAATACGTACATGTGTGAAATTGATTCATGTACAGATTTATAATGAAACATTTATTTGAAAATATCAAATTTGCGACTTAACGTAGACAAATTTTTTCAGTAGACATAGAGGCTTCAAATACTTATGGGACTGATTGTATACAGGGTGTCCCAAAAATGTTGTAACATATTAAAAGGGGTGATTCGGGAGGTGATTTGAAACAACTTTTTCCTTAGCGAAAATGTTGTCGGAGGCTTCGTTATGAAGATATTAACGGAAAACACTGACCAATCAGAGCGCGCGTATACCGTTGGGAGCGGCCGCGGTAGCGAATGAGCGCGGCCGCTTAGCGCGTAAGCCTACGCTCCAGCGGTATACGGGCGCTCTGATTGGTCGGTGTTTTCTGTTAATATCTCCTTAACGAAGCCTCGTATAAAATTTTCGCTAAGGAAAAAGTTGTTTCAAATCACCTCTCGAACCACCCCTTTCAAGGACCTCCAACATTTTTGGGACACCCTGTATACAGTGAGTGAATAACTATTACCACCTGAAATAACTTTTCATATACTAATATTAAGGGAAAACAGTCTCATATAAATATATTAAATTCAAACGGGTCTTAGTTAATAGAAACATTTCAGTTTTTCGATAATCTACAAAAATACATTCGGAATAATGGTTTATATAGTCACTTTCCACTTGTATTATTTCCGTGGAATAAAAAACATCAAATTCTCACCATAACTGATACTGTCACGACTCTACGTACATATTAGAGAAATACGTAAAACAACAGTGGGAGTTTTTTTTTATGCCCCTTCTTCAAATTTTCTCCAGTTGCAACCCTAGTTTCGATAGATAAGATAAAATATAGCAAGTGTAGAAGAAACGCAGGTAAACGATGAGAACAGAAAAAGGTATCACGAGAAAGGTGAAGCGAAGGACACGGAATTGCATGTGCGCGTTATAAAAGGGGGAGAGAGTGTTATAGTAATCTTGAATAAAAGACGCCGCGTTACTTGGTTAGCCGCTCTGGCGAGTCCCGTCTGTCTATATATGTATATACAATTTTTGACGTCCCGTTGATAAGCAAAAGCGTCGTTTGCAATTCTGTGATACGCACAGATGATGCCCTGTAGAGTTCGTGATACTGCCAAATAAAATCGAGGCTAGGTTTAAAAGTAATCTTGCCTTTATGCAATTTTGTAATTATTCTAAAACGAAATTTTCCTCTAATTTGCGCAACGAACAGATTAAACTAATGGAGGGCACGGATTCTAATTTCTAGACAGGTTTCAATGGTTTCAAATGAGAGATCTTCTGATGTTATTAGTTTTTAATGTATAATGTTTAAACTAATGATTTTTGGACACAAACAAGTCAAAACATTTTTTTTAGAGAACATTATGCTACATCGATCGGTGTAATCGAAAATACAGTGGATGTAGAAAGTATTCGTACACCGATCAATTTCCAAAAAAACTATGTAAAATTGTAATTGATTAATTTACTTTTTATAAACAATGACATTCTACGTATTTTTGGAAATATCTAGAATAGATAGATTACAAAAAAAAAATAGCTATTTATGTAAGTTGCGAAATTAACAAGAAAAAAACCAATTAATCGATAGAAACGTTGAAGCGATAAGTATTCGCACGACTGTTTAATTTTTAAAACTTAATTAAGAAAAAAAAGAAATTTACATTAATTTACAAGTATGTAATACTTCCTTAAATTATTAGTTATTCGAAGTGAGATCTTTTTCCATTCCTCTATTAGAGCCATTTTTACAAGTACTTTATAGGAAATTTGTTGTTTTCTAATTCGTACGGACCAATAAACTAATGTGTTTACGTTACAAACTCCACTATAAATGGTTCGTCATAAGAATCGTACAAATACTTATTGCTTCTATACTTTTATCCACTTTTCACATTTTTTTGTTAACATCACAAATTATATTGACTAGTAAATGTTGTTTTGGACTATATCTATCTTAGAGACTTCCGAGAATACGTAAAATATCATTGATTATAAAAAAAGAAGTTAAGAAACTACAATTTCATACAAAAGTTCTTTGGGAAATTGATCGTTTACGAATACATTCTACACCCACTGTACATGACTCCGTTTAAAACCACGTTATTGACTTTCGTAAGTTCTCCACGCGTTCACCAACAAAAAAACCAATAACATCAGAATAAGTCCGACTTGAAACCATTCGAAGTAGTCTACGCAAATGTTTGCTATTCGTAATAATATTCACCATAAACCGAGAGGTGGAAATTTCTGACGAACCACGGTGTATATTTTAGAAAAATTGTTCCGTATAAACGAGGGTAACTGCGAATAGCCTGTCTTTGTTGGGACATCTTGTACGTACACCTATATCTATCTACACACGCGAGAGGACGTGCTGGAGAAGGTTCGCTTAAACCTATAAGGAGGAAAGGTCGATCGTTGCGCGTTCGATTGAGCGCGCGATTACTCTGGGACGTAGATGCTATGCCGCGAGCCTGCTCATCGGCCGAAATACTGCACGGTGCTCCGGAACCATTCGAGCGTCGAAGAGGATCGCGCGGAGAATTTGCGACGACGCGCAGCTTCCGTGGGCGTCGTGGTTAAAGCGTCGTGGATGCGCGGAAATTCTAGGTCGACACGCGTGGAAACTCTCGGTCGACGCGCGTGTTCACGGTAGAAACGGTGACTAGTAGATTTTCGTCGAGCAGTCCCCCGCGTTCGGTTCGTTCTCCGGGAGCGAAAGAGAAGAGATGGGCAAATTTCTTACTCGGATGAAAATGTCCACAACGAATGAAAGATAAACGATTTCTTACGCGTTGCTTGTCGAAGTAAGGGGTTAGTCGCAGTCAAGAAGAGGAAAAACGACATTTCTTTGTGATTTTTTTGTTTAGTTAGTAAATAATAATTCGCATAAGTAACAATTAAGTATATTATAAAGCATGTTTTAAAGAACTAAAAAACGTAGGTTTGCGGTGAGCAAGATTTCTCTACACTGGATTACCTGAAAACAAAAACAAAGGTAGATTTCGATAATAGATTAGTCTAGCGGGTCCCTGATCGAAGGATTTTGGAAAAAATTCATTTAAAACAAGATGGCGTACATTTGAAGTTGATTTTTGTTTTTTTCACTAAAATTAAACGATCCAATACAGGGTAAAAAAGAAGTATATAAGAAAATAAAAAATCCTTCGATCAGGGACCCGTTAGTCTAATATATTTTCTAAATCTACCTTTAGTTTTGTTTTCAGGTGCACCAGCTTGAAGAAATCTTGTTCATCGCAAACCAAGTGGCCACCCACGCCATCGTCTGTTATGGACGAAATGAATTAACCTTTTTTTAAAACAAAAATTCTTTCGTAGTTCTTTAAGACATACTTTGCAATATGTTTACATTTCATTAATAAAAATTATTATTTAATATCTTAAAAAAAAAGAACACAAGAAACTGTCCGTTTCCATTTTTCTGGCTGCGACTAACCCGTTAAAACAAAAACTCCAGTTAGATGGTGGATGATTTTACAATTACTAGTAGACTTTTCAATTCTTTTGACTCTAGTAAGACATAGAAAGTCACGAGCATCAAAAGTATTCGTACCCTTTATGTCTACTGAAGAAATTTGTCTAAATCAAATGGTAAGTCCGATGTTTCCAAATAAATTCATTACAGATATATACATAAATAAACTTTACACATGTACATATTTATAATGAAAAATTTATTTGGACACATCACACCTACCATTTGATTTTACCAAATTTCATCAATAGACGAATATTTGTAGGACCGATTGTATATCCCAGCGAATAAAAAAGGTTGGAAAATTGATTTTCTCAATATAGCAGATTTGCGATTCAGCGAGTAAGAGTTAAAAAGTTTGTTTATCCCCCGTTGGTTATTCGATATTTCCGTCTGGATAAGAATTTAAGATTTTACCGTAAAACTCAATAATCCCCGACTTTTTGGTTATTTCTAAATTAACACTTTAACTACTGGCCTATGTAGAAAAAGGCTACAACTTAGAAAAGGATTTTTTACATTAGCATAGATTGATGTTATCTAGGCTGATATTAATTTTTACGTGCTATTACTAGGCATATCGAAAGGCCTTTCCTCAAATTAAGCATCTTAAGTAGACAGCCAACATCACAGTTAATAGGTCCTTGTAAGTAGACGATGGAATGAAGGGGGTATCCTGAATTAGAAGGTCTAAAAAAAAGCCGTTCTTCGCGAATTTCTTTAAGATGGAAAAAAACAATTAATTCTATCCGAACTTTTATCCTATTTTTATACATATTTGGGTAGTCTGTACAAATTTTCTCAACAAGAAATATTCACAAATATACACAATTAAAACCTCCTATCGGCGAGAAAGATGCCGGTCGTAATTTTGGTTTGACTCAAAAAAAAAAAACCAAAAGAAATTTTCATTTTCATACATTTTTCTTCTACGTGAACTAAGAGAAACCCGCAAAAATGGCGAAATGTGAAGTTACTGCATGTTTGAAAAAAAAGAACGAGTTCTTTGGTTGAAAGAAGTCACTTTAACTCGATAAAAAAGTTGTTTAAAATTTCTTTTCTATGAAGTTTCTTAGTTCACACAGAAGAAAAATGTATGAAAATGAAAATTTCTTTTGATTTTTTGTGACAAATCAAACTTACGACCCGCATCCTTCCCGCCGATAGGAGGCTTTAATTGTGAAGGTGGTCTACAAACGTGCGTCACAGTCGACTCAATTCGAATATTTCTTGTTGGAAAATTTTATGCAGACTATTCAGATATGTATAAAAATAGGATAAAAATTCACAATAGAATTAATTGTTTCTTTTCCATCCTAAAAAAATTCACGAAAAACCGCTTTTTTTAGACCTCCTAATTCAGGATACCCCCTTAAAGTAGGCTCCTGGTAGATAAAGTGTTGCACCCTATCGCTTAAATCGAACGAAGAACTTTTAATTCCCGAAAAATGGTAATTTTCTGAGTCGAGCAGTCCTCGTACCATAATATCGAATTTTGCCCATCTCTGGTGGCAGAGGACGTCGTTCCGCGACACGAGGAACGTCGTCGACGTCGAGGCGAGTTTTGTCCGTAGACGGGGCGCGAGCACGACGCGTCGACGCGACTGGACGAACACGAAACAAGAATCGGTTTACGCGATCCTCGTCGGCTGATTCGAACTCGAACCGATCAGGGGTAACGCGGGCCGATCGCTGGCGATCCCAGTGACTGGTCCCAACCGGTTCGACACCTGGTCGATTTCCGCCAGTGAGGAAGCTGAATGCCCAGCCTCTTGCACTCATGCGCGTACGCGGTGAACGACTCGCAGTAGCAGTTCTCGCTGGGGCACTCGCACATGTCCTGCAGGCAAGCCTTGTAGTACATGGTAGGGTTCACCTTCTTGTGGCACGCGTCGAAGATCTGCGACCTCAGCCGATTGCACAACCTGCGTCATCGCGACGAATCGCGTTTCTTGTTAGCGGCCGTACCGTTCGGAGAAAGAAAGATCAGTCCTAGAGTTCACTTTTCTTCGATGAAGGCAAATATATATATTATACGCGGTCGCGAATAATATTTTAGATTTCGTTGATTTTTTTACTGTTGAATTATCAATACGCTTAACGAAGAATGAACTTATTGTTCTTTGTTCAAAATTAAATCGGCGTTCTCCGAAGTGTTTCACTATTACGTATCGCCGTCGATACTTTGTTTTAACACGTTGACTGCCAAGCGAACATTCTTGAAAATTTCTGCTAAGATTAAATATTATTTAGACTGTCGGAGTCTAGGTAACGAAACATTTATCGTGGTATTTAGTTCTGTAATTACATCGAAATTCAAGAACTTCATTTAGATTCATCTCCTGTGACGTCTAACTTTCAGAATTAATCCTTCTAGTTCTTGAGTGAAAAACACTGTCACCCATATATGGGTGACATGGCGATCAACGTGTTAAAAGTCGAACTGTGGCGACGTGAAACATAAACATTCGGGAGATATCAGAGGACCCTGATTTCCCTCTGGTGTCGAAGGTTTAGTTAGTTGAGTACGAGATCTCGTAACGTACACAACTCTCTAGCCGTCGTGCAAAATAAAATTTATTTCTTTTAAAATATAAATGATATTAATGATTTCGGTCTCCCATATCCAATATTTACTTTCATGTAATTTAGTCTTCCAGCCTTTGCACAAGCTGGTTAATGATGTCTGACCCAATAGAATTTGCAATTTCTATGAAGACTGATCTTTCTTTTCTCCTGTAATAACGCGATCGTGATTCTCGTCATTATCGGTAAATTAAATAAACACACACATAGGACTCTCCCTGGGGATCAATTCTCTACACCAATATCAAACAAAAAGTTCTTAAGCGTATTGAGATCTTAAACTTCATTATCGAGATACGATCGATTAAAAACTACAGCTGTAACTTCTCAATTTAAACTAAAATAACAAAGTTTCGAATTGCAAAGTAGTGTAGAACTTTGGGATTCGTATCGTCACTTGATCCCAAAAATGTGTGCTATATGTCTGTTAATACTGTTAACCGGTTCGTTCTCACGGACGTGTTATTTCGCGACGACGACACTGTTTGTATCGGGTCACAGACGACAACCATACTATTTGTATTAGGTCACAAACGTGTTATACCGCGCCGCGGTACCGGTCGTACAATGCCACGGACGACATATCTCGCGTGTTCCATTATTAGATCAAGAACTTTAATTCGGAAAGGCGGTGATTTTGGAAAGGGTATATAATAAAGCAAAGCTTTGTTTTAAGGATATTTAAAATTTATTATTTCTCTGTATGGTACAATTCAAAGCAGGGAGCTGCGCACATAACGCGACATTACAATTCTTGCAATAATAGCTCGTTTCTTTACGAACCGGTGTTGTAGAACTAATAAGAGAAATAATCAATTTCAAATATCCTTAAATCAAAGCTTTGCTCTATTATATACCCTTTCCAAAATCACCGTCTTTCCGAATTAAAGTTCTTGATCTAATAATGGAGCACGCGAGATATGTCGTCCGTGGCATTGTACGACCGGTACCGCGGCGCGGTATAACACGTTTGTGACCTAATACAAATAGTATGGTTGTCGTCTGTGATCCGATACAAACAGTATCGTCGTCGCGAGATAACACGTCCATGAGAACGAGCCGGTTAACAGTCGTTATAGTTAACGATTTCAATGAATAATGCTTACCTGTGATCTTTTCGTCCTCTGCAACGTCTCTCTCTGTCGTGATTAACCGTGTGCTTCGGCCTGACGCAACTTCTCTTGGCTCCTACCGCCCAGGACTGACCAAACGGTTGAGGATCTTGTAACAACCTACCCCGTCTGTTGGTGAAGTCGTCCTTTGGTAGGGAATTAAAGTTTCCGCAGAGACCGCACAGTCTACCCCTGTATGAAGTCGGCGCTGAGACTTCGAGGAAACTAATCCCGTCCCATAGAACTTTGATTCCGATTTGAGTGCTCACTACGATGCTGTCCACCGTTCGATTCACCTCCAAACGGTTCGCCACGCGATAAGGCACCTCTACCTTCTTCCCGTTCACCTTCACTCTCATCCTCTGACCGAGATTCACCTTCAAATCGCCCACCTACGGTCACCAAAGATAGGAAGCTGTGTAGAACCGCGGAGAGACTGATTCATGCCACGCGCGAGGGAAGTCATCCAAGTCCCCGTTACCACTTCCACTTCGCGATATCTGTGTCCAATAGTTGCGCTGCTGAACCGTTAGATGCCGCTAGTATTCACTGTTTGTTTGTTTGTTTATTAAATTAAATTGCGTACATTTGTTACGTACAGAGACTTCACTCTGTTTCGTTATTTGAAATAACTTATTTCCATCAAACCTCTCCTCCGTGACATTTGCCCTTTCGAGCGGATGCGGCCGCGGCCCTTCGATAAAGTTTTTACTAAGAAACTAGAGCGCGTCGCGGGATTGATTTCCACGAAATATAGGAGCTACGTGCCGCTACGCATCTCCGCGTACGGCAGCATAGATTTCATAAGAATCAACTCCCACTACCGCTTTTCTAACAAAATCTAGAGTATATAAATCGATGCGTTTTGCATTTCGGGGGCTCATCTCTTGACGACACGTTGAAGTTACGTCGCCCTATACAGGGTGTCCCAAAACTCGGGGAGGAGCCGGAAATGGGAGGTAGCTGAGACGATTCTGAACAACAATTTCCTTTGCAAAAATGTCGGATGGGGCTTCGTGGCCGCTCCAACGGTCTACGCGCGCTCTGATTGGTCGGGGTTTTCGCTTAATATCTCCTTAACGAAGCCCCATCCGACATTTTTGCAAAGGAAATTGTTGTTCAGAATCGTCTCAGCTACCCCCTATTTCCGGCTCCTCCCCGACTTTTGGGACACCCTGTATCTTAAACCCGCGAGGCAAGATCGGGAAGAATCCCCTTCGAGCAAAGTAAAGCAAAGTAAAGTTCGGGTTATAGTAATCCAGAAGAAATAAGACGCAGACCGTGTTACCTCGTCGTTAGATCGGGAAGGATCCCCTTCGAACATAGTCTTGAAACGTTTTGGCAAAAACTCGTTCTATTGTAAACGTGACCCCCGCATTTCAACTCGGTGCGTAACCTTGAGAGTAGGAATTAGTTTCCGCGATATATATACAGAAAACATTTGTATAGTCCTAATTAAACCTTTGAATACATACGTAGTTTAGTAGAGTAATCCTAACTATTTTCTTCAGTACCTATCCTATTGAATTATTAAATTAAGGAGACCCACAGCAATACACCTTTACCGCTCGAGGTGTATTGCATAGTAAAAGTTACGAGGCCCCAACTAACAAATCCTAGTGGCAACCCTTCGTTAACCATACGCTGGCGCGTCCACGACAACTTTCCAACCTCTTAGTGCCAACCCTACGTTAGCCATACGTAGGTGCGTCCACGAAAGCACATCCCTGTTAACAAAATTGTCCAAACGACAGCTATCCTCGGCAACGCGGCCGAAGCAAACCTCACAGCCCTCGGCTCGTAACACATTCATAGAAGTACTTTGCACTACTATGCGCTGCTCTCTTTTTACATTTCCTCTTCTAAACGCTACTATCCACAGCAAAATTATTATGATCCTGATCGAATGATAGAAACATGAAATCTTTAAAAATATTTAACCTCGACTCGAGTAAAACCTGTGTTCGTTAACAGCTTCAAGCTATTTAAAAATTGCAAATAATTTATGGATCGAATGAACGCTAGTAGATAATAGATTAAACCTTTGCAATATGAGTTCACTTCTCACGTGACACTTCATACAGGCAATAAAGGAAATTAGTGGGACACGGTATATTCGAACAATGCTTTGAAAGTATGTGTACGTAGATAAAAAAAGGTACTTCGGATACTAATAGTAGCGTTCTTTATCGAATGTGCCAACACAACCGCATCGAATTGCACACATAACTGATCTCTCTAAATGAACTGGAATAGTTGGAGAGATAAGTTTTGTATACAATTCAGTTATTGTTATTATTGGGTTATTCTCGTGCTTGAAGGCTCAGTGCGTATACTTTATCAGTGTATTATAGTTTAACAAAATATAAATACAGAATACTAAACGAAGGAACTAAGAAAACAGTCGTAGCGCAAAGGGTTAAATATATATCATTGCCTGTTGAAAACGTTTCCTGAAGGAGAAAGCGACCCCTTCTCCCTCGCGTGGCATGAATCAGTGTTAACGAATTTACAGCAAGCAGATACGTTCCATAGGGGAAAGTGGCTCAGTTCACGATACCCTTTCTCCCTTGGTAAACTTTTACACTGAAACGTTTGGCTACTGCGCGAGGTGAATGCGTAAAAGTATTATACCACAAACACAAGACGGTGCAACTTCCTATTAAAATTAAATTAAATTGTATGCATCTAAAGGGTTTCTCGTAATTAAATTAAACGGGTAAAGGTTTCACCCCTTGAAATTTGTAGCCGAGACATCGCTAAGAAATAACAATGCTTCGTAAATGGTGCTACTACTCTACGTTTGAAGTTTAAAATAGGTTATCAACCCGATTAAGTTTCTATTTATTCACTCTAGATGAGTAACACAGGGTTCCCAAGGTTCCTAAAGAATTCGATTTTTTCGTTGGTGGCATTGGAATATCTAACATCCGGTGACTGGTCCTAACGAACATGTCGACCATGGTCTAATTATACTTTTAGAATACAAGATTCGCTATCTAATTACGCTATTACGGGGAAGAGGTAGCGTCGGCTCATAAGGAGACATCCGAATGTTACGATCTTAATAAATGTAACGATATTTTTTATTTTCATAACATTAGTATTATGCAGTATTTATTTCATTTATTAGAATCTTTTTTCGATTAATATTTATGTAATATTTCATAGTTCGTAAAATAATGGGAGTATACAGTGCTATCTCAGTAATAGATAACAAAGGTTGCTACGACGAAAAGTCGATTAATAGGCTATCGATTATCAAAGTGTTAACACTTACCCATAGGAATCGCTACTTTGTTATCTATCAATGATAGCGATAGAATGAAAACAATTCTAATACGCTAAATAAATGTTATAAAATGCTAATGCTATGAAAATGAAAAATATTATTAACCTTAATTATACATATAACCAACCACTAAAATAAAGTGTTAAAAAGGAAGCACATAGGAATTATCGTCTCGCGACTCGTCTCTACGAACAAATCAGTGTTCATTAAAGGACGTTCAAACGCGCGTCATTAGAGACTTCCGACTCTCTCGTTGCACTCACCTTTATGGCGATCGTCTTCGTCCACGCGGAGAACCTGGTCGCCCTGGCGTCGTTGGTCACCCGAATGCTGAACGTGTGGCTCGAGCAATCACTGGCCAACTGATACTTGCACGCGCCCTTGAAGCTGTAAAACTTTCCATCGAACGTGCGATAATGCGGATCCCCGAAGACCGTGCACACGCCGTCGCCTGCACAACGCGAAAGATCGTGTCGGAAAATTTGTCGAGCGGCTGATGGCTGCGCGAACGCAAACGGTTAGATTACGATCGAACGACATTACTTTCGACGCAACGTGGACAGCACTGGCCCTCCGGGTGTTCCAGCCTCGAATTTGGTGGACAGGGTAGATTTAACGGCGGGCACATCGGCATCGCGCACCGCACCTTTCCCTGCGTGCAAGCGCATGCCTTGCAGGAATCAAGCTTCCAAGTTTCGCCATCCTGCCTAGGACAAAACAGAACCTTTAAACCAGAGAAACTATCGGAAATAGAACAACGGTTTCTAATCTTTTAACTTAACAAAATGGAGAGTTACCGTTCACTTGAAAGCGAATTAAGGTCGATTCAGACTATGCAACAACGGACTGTCCCGTTCCGGGAACGATACGTGCCGGCACGACGAAACATTAAGACACGCGTTTTAATTTAATTAATTTAATTTCCTTTATTGCCTGTACGAAGTGTCACGTGAGAAGTGAACTCATATTGCAAATGTTTAATCCATTATCTACTAGCGTTTATTCGATCCATAAATTATTTGCAATTTTTAAATAGCTTGAAGCTGTTAACGAATATAGGTTTTACTCGAGTGAATAGTTCCATTAAAACAAAACGTGCGTTTGAATGTTTTGTCGTGTCGGTACCGGTACGTGTCGTTGCCGGAACGTGACGGTGCGTGTCGTATAGTCTGAATCGACCTTTAGCCAGCGACTTTTGTCTTGCGAATTTCCATTATACTTTACTAACCAAATGGAATCTACAGTTTTCGAACGAGCCACAAACGAGGCGCCAATAACTACTATCTGTCATTTGGATGCAGGTTGACCAGTCAGGTCGACACCAAAAATACTTTATACTAGAAAATGATGTTGAATCTACGAAACATACACCTGATATATTACATTCTTGATGTAGAATACAAATTATTCAAATATTGCTTTCAAGCGAACGAGTAAGACTGTATTATTATTGTAAATACTCGCCCCGTAAGTCTTCCCGGCATATGTACACGACGGTCGAATTTCCTCGACTTCGGGACATTGCGGACAACAGCGATCAGGAAGGATGATTTGATGCTCGCTCGGACAGTCGTGGACAGGGCAAGTCTCTCTGACGCACGACACGGCTGAATTAGAACAGCTGCAACGTGTGCACTGGTCGGCGTAAAACTGTTTGCCCGAATTGTAGATCATCGTTCCAAGCATGCACGCTCCCTTTGGTGGTGACAAGTACCTTCCGCTGCCTGAAAATTGACACCTTTCTCTTTAAACACTCCAAAAAGTTCAATTTTCAACTTTTTTTTGCCTGCAGTTTGTTCACATTCTTAAGAAACACATGCTAATAATGTAACGAAAAATTTCATCAATTTCGAAAAGGCGAAACTAATTTATTATAAACGCAAAACTGATCTCATAACTCGATATATTAGGTTGTCCGAAAAGTTTCTTTCGCTTTATTAATAAGTAATACATGGACAATAGTTTATGCTTTGTGTTACATTAATGAATTGTGCGCGATTCATTTTGCTCCCATTACTGTTACAACATGAATATCTATGAAATTAGATTGTCTATTTATATGAACACGACCACAGAAAATAATTGAGTGCAACTCGCGAAAGAAACTTTCGGGACAACCTGATAGGATAGTAATAGTAATCGAACGCTAAAACACAATCCCGTAGTTCAGCGAATAATGTAATCAAACACAAAGCCTGTCCCCTAGCTGAGCGACTAATGTAATCGAACGCAAAACGTATCCATACTCACTCACTTCCGTTTGATTACATTTACAAGTGAAAAGCGAAACCAGAACGGTTTTCAACCATAAAATCAGTAAATACGAATCGCTGTCGCCGTGCACGTCGCTCGGTATATTTTTAACGTGACGTTATCGGTTTAACGAAGTCGATGGAAACGCGCATCGCAGGGTTAAGCCGTGATATTATTGTTTTGACTCGTGCTGCTGTACGACCTGGCTGCGGTTAAAGGCAACGGTCGCGAGGTAATACCGCGCGAAAGTAGAAAAAAAACCATTGGAGAGATACCTTTGCAGCGAGGACAACACTCGCCGGGATCGTGAACGATCCTCGAAGAAGGACAGTGCAGCACGGGACAGGCCTGCTTGGCGCAGATCAGCCGACCAGCGTTGCACCTGCAAGTCACGCACGGGTCCTCGGTCGTCGTCACCGATCTGTCCGCCGTCACCATTTGTCCGTTCACGTAGCATCCTGCAGAGCAGAAAACAGAATCCAGTTCTGCTCGCATCTCTCTGATCACGTGGCATTGATAAAGATTTTCCCTGACAACGGAAGATTGGATATCGATGCACCTTATTGAGTTGATTCATAAATGGCTGCAAGTGACTAATGCTTTCGGGAAATACAGTACGTGTAGAATGTATTCGTACACCGATCAATTTCCCAAAAAACTTTTCTGTGAAATTGTAGTTTCTTAACTTCTTTTTTTTTGTAATCAAGGATATTTTACGTATTCTCGGAAGTCTCTAAGATAGATATAGTTCAAACAACATTTACTAGTTAATATAATTTGGGAAATTAACAAAAGAATGCGAAAAGTGGGTAAAAGTATAGAGGCAATAAGTATTTGTACGATTCTTATGACGAACCATTTACAGTAGAGTTTGTAACGTAAACACATTAGTTTATTGCTCCGTGCGAATTAGAAAACATCAAATTTCCAGTAAAGTACTTTTAAAAGTAACTCTAATAGAGGAATTGAAGAAGATCCCACTTCGAATAACTAATAATTTAGATAATTTAATACTTAGAAGAGTTGCAGTAATTATAAAATCAAAAGGAAATCCCACGAAGAAAGTATTATATACATGTAAATTAATATAAATTTCTTTTTTTTTAATGAAGTTTTAAAAATTATATAGTTGTGCGAATGCTTATTGCTTCAACATTTCTATCGATTAATTGCTTTTTCTTGTTAATTTCCCAACTTACATAAATAGCTATTTTTATTTTGTAATCTATCTATTCTAGAGATTTCCGAGAATATGTAGAATATCATTGGTCATAAAAAATAAGTTAATAAATTACAATTTTACATAGTCTTTTTGGAAATTGATCGGTGTACGAATACTTTCTACATCCACTGTAGGTAGCAATTTTTAATATGGCTACTGATTGGGACTAGTCATAATCGATGATGATTATACAGGGTGGAGCAATAACTTGTCCCAGCACGAATATTTT